GCAATAAGGCACCCAAATCTCAGGCCACCCCCGTGTTTTGCTGATGTCAAACAGAAGAGGATTTGACATTTCCTCAAAAATAAATTGCACGGTGAGTTGCAACACACACATCGCTCACACCAGAGCGGCCTTTGCAGAGCTGTGTCACGATGTTGGCTTAGAAGTTACAAGATTTTTCCGTTCCAGATTCAAGCACCTCTTGTCATTTTTTTGCCATCCACTCTCCTTCTCTGCCGTGGTAAATCCGGTGCCTAGAGTAAATCTGGGTTGACTTCTGAATGACTAATGAACAGAAGGAGAAAGAGCCTTCCAAACTTGGCCATCAGAACCACATAGCTCAGGGCAGATGATCCCAACACTGCTGGGAAATCCAGCTTTGGGCATTTCAGCTACAGGCACTCGCTTTTCAGAGACTTGTATAAGACGAGACCAATTTCTAATCTAAAAATCATCAGGGATATTGGTACAGGACATGACAAAATTTTCAAGATAATTTTTGTTCTTTCCACATCTTTTTGCAGCTTACAAATACATCCTGTATCCTCTCTATCCACTGTTTCCTCATGGGTGATTTAATTCATAGGCAATTTAAGCCATTTTCTTCCAAATCTCAGTATGGGCAGAAAGGTTGGTTCCATTTTCAACTAGCAGTTTGGTCGCAAATCTCCTAGGAAACAAATTTAAGGAAAATGAAGCGAACCCCTCAGAGCAACACACCTCAAAGCTCTGAGGAATCCTACTCATGTTAAGACATCACCACAGAGTTTGGGGGTGATATTTTAAGAGCTTGAGACTTTTTCCCATGCGTAGGGATCCAGTAAGGCCCCGTTTGCTGCTTTTCCCCAGGGAACGCTGACCATGAGCTGATGGGAGAAATGGCCCAGACTGCCAATATACCTGCCTGTGGTGAGTACAGTTTACTTCAAGGACTGAGGCAATATTTTGGACAATTCATCATTAGGTGCAATACTACCTGAGAAGCTAATTGGCTGATGCCAAGGGTTTTTTGTTTTGTTTTGTTTTGAATAGTATGTTAAGTAGAAAGGGGATGAGGCAAGCTTTTGCTCAGCTGAAGTTTCCAACAACTTTAATATATGAATTAGCTTAAAGCAAGACTTGTTTCTCCCCTCGCTGTTAGCATCTATTAACTGTCATCCTAAAATAACTGTATTAAGGAGGGGAAAGAAAAAAAAAAAAAAAAAAAAAGGAAATGCTCCTTCTTGCTATTGTATTTGTTTTCCAGGAAGGCTCTCTGATGGGCAGCCTGACTGCTGGTGCCACCCAGCCTCCCCATGAGGCTGTTCTGGGAAAAGGCTTTGCTTGAACTTTCCCCCAGTCATGCAAAATATGAATGGAAAAAGTCTTTTCAAAACTGTGAGCATTTTGGGTGGTACAAGACTCCTTCCCCTCTTTAACGCTCAGCATTCTCCATGCTGTGCACTCTGCCCAGCCGTACCCATTGCAAAAGGGGTCGATTTTACAATCTGCTGGCACTGGCTGGATCGATGCATGACCAATTCCACAGAGGCACCTGGAGAGCTTCATTAACTTGGGTTAAATAGTCATCAAAAGGACTGTGTGCTGAATTACACGCAGATGCTATACGGACGGTGCCCGTGGCCAGGCTCCACAAACACGCTGGGCTGCTTGATGTCCCTTGCACACCCCGCTGGGCAAACACAGCCCTTGGGGGAAGCAAAACAGGCTGCAATTTGGGCGAGACGTGGAGCCGGTGCTTTGCATCACCTGCTTAGCTTCAAACAAGATTAATCATTGCTCTTTCAATGAGGTGGTGTAATCCAGTTAGTGTCTGTCAAGAAAAATTTGATTGTTAAAAATACACCACTGGCCGCCGAGCTGTTTGTTTGCCGTATTGACAAAAGCTGCAAGCAAAGGGGATGTTCTGTTCTGCAAAATGCAGCTTGTTTTAACAGGCCTTGTCTCAGCTCCATTTACAGGAAGGATATGGGAACGCTGCCCCTCACCCCACTGATAAATATTCCACCTGTAAATATTAAACCTGGGAAACATCAGCGCAGTCTGGTAGAATCAGAAGCAGCTGCTCGATGCATAAATTCATGCTTTTTGCAGTTTTATGGTGACAAATGCCCACGTAAGAGCAACGTTATAGCGGGCGTGCAGTCCCAGCGTAGCCTCTTTTTGAGAAATTCACATCTATTTTTAGAATATAGTGCTTATATAAAACAGAGTGTGCCTGAGGGCTGGGAGCAATGAGGGCTCAGCAAGCTGTGCCTGGCTCATGCATTACTCAGGATTTTGCCATTGCGTGAAACTGGACCCATTTGCACTAGGAAACATTTTACTTTATTTAGGAAATAGCAAACATTTAATTGCTCCAATCTGTGTTAATCCACAGTGGTGCTAAATTTAGATCCAGAAACCACTTCTTCCAATAAATCTCAACTTGGATGCTTTTAGCTTTACAGTTGGAAAGTAGCAGTGGGCAAAAGACACCAGCCACTCAGGAGCAGCCTGGAGCAAACAGGAGACCAAGGCAGGGACACCAATGCTGTCACATCAGGGGGCTATGTACCACTGAGGTTGCAAAAGGGATGAGATCTGCAAAATTTAATAAAGAATTGAGA